TCCTCTATTGGAAGATAACGTTCAGAAACGAGGATTTCACTAATGTATTCTTTATTTATTGCCATAATATAACAATATATACAATCGATTTTCTAACTTATTTCTTATTTTATTGTTTTTTCGAATACTAGATTGTAAAAAGAGCTACTTTTTTATTTTACATTATAAAAATATGACCAATTTTTTAAAGTAAAAACCAATTAGTTAACTTCAGGCCCAAAAATCCCATTCTCCTTTAATTTACTCTGATAAAATTCCCTAAACATAATAAATTTTTACTCCAATTTCATGTCTTTGAAAACATTTTTTATAATTATTTTTTACAGATTATTTACGCGAACACTACACATATAAATAAAAATAATTTTACGGATTTTATCGCGTATATTAACTCATTTTATATTCCCGACGCTTCTAGTACTTTACAACACCCATGGTCACGGGGGGACTGAGGTATTTGACGTTCATAGTTAACCACGGCTACCTCCAGATTAAAAATTATTAATTTTTGTTCCGATCTACGCAGTATGAACCTACAGTATCTAGAGACCTTGCAGTTGTATGCTTAGGTTGGGATTTAATTTTATTAATTATAGGACCCCAAGCAGATGAAAGCACCCAACCATCTTCTCTATAGAAATTAGGATGTTTTTTGATTTCAGTAGCCTCGCGAATCATCCTTGGAAGGAATTGGTGTTTTTTAGCAAAGATTTGTGGTCTGTCATATCTAATGTATTGACGGGGGCGATCCTGGACGTATTCACAGACTGCAGACTTCCCGGAGTGTCGATTCTTCACATCAGCTATGTGTTCTTTAACGCGGGTTTTAATTGATATTTTAGTTTGTCCTATATAAGAGGGACCACATTCACAATCAAGCTTGTACACTCCTGCATCTTGCAGATGGACATTACACTTGACTGATGGTAAAACTGACTAAACTTCTTCGGCGGCTTGAAGTATGTTTTAATGGAAGCACGCTTCAGGATGTAGCCGGTCCTATCAGTGACACCTCTGATATATGGCAGTACAGCAGGCACTCGCTCGACTTTGGCCGGCTTCACTCTTTCACTGTGACGTAGGCGCGGGACACGAAGTTTATTGTCGTGCAAAACTTGCTTGACGTGTTGAAGCTCGGCGGCCAGGTGTTTACTGTCACAGATCCCTCGTGCTCTCTGAAACAAAGATTTACCCACGGTAGCTAACTGTGAAGGATGGTGATTAGAATCACCGTTTAAATAGCTATCTGTATGAGTCTTTTTTCTACACACAGTGTGACATCTAGAAAAGCTAAAGCATTGTTTGCCTCTAACTCCATTGTGAATTGAATTTTAGAATTTATGGGGTTAAGATGGTCTAAAAATGTAGTTACTTTATTTTAAGGAAGAATTGTGAAAGTATCGTATACGTACCGCTTGTAGAATCTTGGATTTACGGGAGAAGTAAGCAGGGATTCCTCCTCAAAGTCTTCCATGAATATATCGGCGACAATGGGAGATACAGGTGAGCCCATCGCCACACCATCTGCTCGCTTGTAGAACTCTTCTTTACTTAATAGGTAACCAGATGTAAGGCAGTGTATATTTTACGCAAGCTCTTTTTGTTTTCCTCAAGCCTTTTAGTTACAATAGAGATGCAATTTACAACAGGTAAGCATGTGCACAGAGACTGCACATCAAAACTCACCATAGTTTCATTGTCTGCCAGATGTAGGTGTTTAATCTCGCTGACAAAATGGTAGGAATCCTTTGTGTGTGCTCTTGCATGTGCCTTGAGCGGTGAGAGTATTTTCGCTAAGTGTTGAGCCAATCTGTAAGTTGGTGAATCGATTTGGTATTATCAATAGAATCGATTTGGCTCACTATGGGACGTCGTGGTGCATTGGGCTTGTGTATTTTTGATAACCCATACAAATTCAGTGGTTTGGCACACGTAGGTAAACTTTAATTCGTATAATAATAAATAGAAATATATATATATATTTATATATATATATATATATATATATATATATTAAGCGAACTCTAGAACTCTATTATTCTCTAAAATTGCCTGCTTCCTTCTGCTAATTATCATCTTGCTCTAGTCTAATTTCGATGAAATATTTGAAAAGACAAATGTCCTACACTGTGGATTTAATTATGAAAACATTTTTAGTTTATTTTATTGTATTTTAAGTTAATCAAAACACATTTTTATTTTTATCTTAAAACGTTGTTCGCATACTTTAAAAGGGTAACTAAGCATTAATACCACGTAACAATGATATTATAAAATAAAGTTAGGACCTCTAGACGCTAAAATAAAGAACTGAAATAACACTGATATTTTTGACACAGGCTTCATGACAAATTAAAAAAATTTGGTCTCACATAGGGATTACGATAAATCAAAATTTTTATATAAATTTTAGTTTACACATACAATTGCAATTTTTAATTATATTGTATTTTATGTTGTAAATCACTCTTGTTAAATTGTTAAACAATCTGCCCTTAAGAGAATATCTTTGCTGAAAGAAATTTGAAGAGCAAGTTTTAATGAATACTCGTATATTGCTGTCGCGCTGTGCACCAATGACAGAGGCAGGCAAACAAGATTCCACACAATTCCAGCTCGGACTCATTATACCAATAAAAATTTGAAAAATTCATCATTTCGATGTTCCGTTCTTTGTTTTAATTTTCATGTTCGTTAAATTTGTTAACTAAACTACAGAAAACGACGCGACGGTGTAAAGAGTCAATTTTAGTTATTTTAGAATGTTCTTAGTTTTTATAAAAAAATTATTTAAGAAATAGAAATCATATGAACATGACATTGCCTGTATTTAGCGTCATTATCCAGGGAAAAAATAGAAGAATACGTTTGTATGGACTAAACGTTGCCCGGATATCCTCCTCGGTAACGCAGAGACGAAGCATCTCTTTGCGGTGTTGCCCGCCGCGATTTCCGATCTCGCGTGGTACAAGCATGCAAATAATTGTTTCGAGGATGAATTTTTGTATGCGAAATGCTATTTCAACTGATGATGCCTCGTTTAGAGGTGAAACACGTGTCGCATTATCGGCGGTGGTGTGTCTTTACTAGTGTAGTGTAGCGTTGCTGGGATTAGTGGTGACGGTAATAGTGCATGCAATTAAGGGAGGCGAAAGGTGCTCCTCAAACTAGGTAAGACATATCGTTAATACTTTATTTGAACACTGATATTAGCTTATTATTTTAACATCTTTAATGTAAGTAGTTTGTCACATCAGTTTTATTAAAAAAAAATACAAAACATTAAAATTTACTATAAATAAAATTATTAAACTGGATACTCAGGCGTACACACGCTGCATAGCTATAGCGTCATAAGTAGTCACCACTCGTACGTTTAGGTATCATGATAGTGCTCAAAATAGCAAACACAGTATAACAGAAAGAATATTTTTATTCAGTATAAACCTTAGAGCATAAATGAGCAAGCTATACAGCGCACGTTAGCGTACAGTAAGCACAGGTATGAACAGCCTCTAAATTACAAGGGCGACTTTATAATTACTCACCTATCTAATATTTACTAAATACTTACCTAATTAAACTAATAACTTAAGTACAATAACGCACAGGCGTCAATCTTGGCGCTTCATTATTCAACCGCTTCATCTATATGTCTTAGCTTGTATCTATAGAACTTAGCATAATGGGTAATAGGCTTATATAGAAATATAGCTTGCTTATGTATACTTTAAGGTATAGACTATACATAAGATCTTTCATGCTCATCATGAGCCGTAATAATCTACTACTGGATATACGGTCGGGGTATTTTGAATATAGCGTACACGGGATCATTATTTCTACCATTTCCCTAAATCACCTCTTACGACACCCACGGGATAAAAAAGGGTAATGGAATGTATACTTGTCGTACTACATACTTAATAGTTCAAAATGCATCATCCTTTTATTTTCTGTTCAGATATTTCAGTCTTTACTTTAATTTCCTAACATCAAATATGCTTCTCTAACCATAAAACTAAAAAGATTAGAACGAGTCTGTTAAATGCTTGGTAATATTCCTAAAGTTATATCCGATAAATGTACATATGACATAAATATACAAATGTCAGAATATACCACAGCACAGATGTAACAGCATCCACTTACTTTGGTGTTCATCATTGCTATTACACTCACTTAGATTTAAAAAATCTAAGTTATTTGATGTTTTGAAACTATTCAATAATATTAACATTAATAAATAATGCTTGTTATTATAATTAACATAAGTGGAATAAAAAAAAAACAAAAATTAAAAATTTCAGCAATTAAGCGTTATTGCATATATTTAAAAACTATCAAACCTTAAATATCAAGACTGCTGAAGTAAATTAACATCTGAACTATGAAGCGTTTGGTATTGCAGTCACCAATTAAAATGCCAAGCCTAGCGATTATAATAAGAACATGTAATTTGAGAGAGGCCTTTTAGCACATAATATGAATTTACTTACACTTCTTTAGAAAATACTTTATAAGCGGATTCAATGTATAATTTACATTAGTTAAGTGGCTAAAATATTCAAAAGCTTGTATTTTCATAACGAGAAAACCTCGACAAAACTCATATACTTTAAAGACGAATTCATTTTGCAATAAAGAGTCACAAAAGCGACTATGAAGGCTATATTTCTAAATTTACTTGTAGAATTTCTATACTGGCACTGCTTTTTACTCTACACTATATGACTTACTTCTAAAACAATTATTTAACATTGTTCCATTTTCTCTGAACCAAGTCTGAACACTCACAAATGCTACATTGGATACAAGAGAGAAGGTGTCTACTACATTCGTACATCATAACTTGCATACCTTGAATAAAGGAGATTTGAACGCGGAGAATGCGACTTTGTATTATTAAAGCTGGAGAATTCGGGTCGCTGGATGAAATGCACTGACACTGCTCGGTTGTTTCAATTCCATTCTATCAAGACGAGTCGAGCTCGAGCTTTAGTGTAGCGGCGGGAGAATAAGGGAAAGCTCGCTTGTACAAAGTCGCTCCCGAGCTGAAACCGCGAAATTTTTTGTAACATTTAGCATCGAAAAAAGCGCTTAGCTAAATTACACAGTCAGAAAAAAATAAAAAACGCGGATATTTTCCCCTTTTTTCTTTAATTAAATAACAACTTTACTGCAATAAAGTATTAGTGTATGAAATCAGATCAAATTGGTAAGTCTAAAACGAAATACGATTTTCAATGTTATAAATAACTTCAGTATTCACGTCAATACGCGTTGTTTATAAATACTACAGAAATACACAAAATGTTTGGTAATGATAGTAATAATTAGTGTATATAACAAAAGATATATTATCTAAGTCTTCTTAATAGATATAACAATATCCAGGCTTTTAATCAGTTTTAATATTTTTATTTAATAATTCCAAAAGTATCATGTACAGGAATAGATTTCTACGCGAAAAACATTTTCTGTAATATTTACCCTTTATACGTCAATATATTATTATATGTAACGGACACTGAATAAGACGGGAAATGCATTTTTATTTCAATAGATTTGTTTCTAGGTTTATTATTAATATTGGACATAATCATTAGTTTTAACATACGTATATATTATTATGCTTATATATTGATAGCACCGTTCCTATACATAGAACTTAATTGTATAGCATGATATTAATAGAGCAAAACTTCGCTTAACCTACTTTAAAAAGGAGAAGAAAGTTTTCCTCCACCACATGTGCAATACAAGTGCATTCAAGTGCAATACCTCTTCTTGTTCAATTAGTTTACTGTAAGATGTAAAGTAGGTGCTTATACACTAATAATATAATATATTATGTTCGATATAAATTTTATTATCGCAATAGAATTGATAGTTCAAAATTTTTATCGTTTACATTCCTTAGTAATTTTGATTATGGGTCTTATTTCTTATTGATCAGGTCAATGATTTAATTCAGCTTCTAATCTTTTTAATTCAATTGTTTGTTATTAAGTATTTTACATACGTATTGTATTGCTAGTATCCAAATTTATGTTTTATTTTATTACTGGCCAATAAATAATATCTTGTTGACAAATTTTAAAGCTAATAAACAATGGTGATTTAAGCAAATGAACTCTTTATAATAATGATGTCCTTCAGGCCGGTTGGGTTGAGATGACCCATTTCGTATGCTAGCTAATGCTGTCAACTGCACTAAAGGTATTAAAGTGCTTCACACTGATATGCACAAAGGCGTTCTAACCCACCTGTAACCTATATAATGCATTCGCCATTAAATTGGAGTGACGAGAGTAACAATCGTAATACAAATAAATCTGTTTTGCAGAAATATAAACAATAAGTTGATCTACAGTCAGATTCTGGAATTTCAGTAATATTTTTAAAGCTATTTAGGTAGTCTTACGAAAATACAAAACAATAGCCCCTGATTAAAGAATTTTTATTTCTATTTTAGAGATTTTTTTGCATATGTGAGAGAAGGTAAAAACTCAAAGCACTCATGCTAATGAGTTCGGAAACATCCGAGTTCTAAAACTATAAAAGCAAAAATAATGCATAAAGTATTTTAAGGGGGAGGGAGTTCTACAGAAAACAGGCACATAATAACCAATGTGTTAGAATAACTTGTCACAAAGTAGTAACAGAATTTGATTTGTTCGGCTCAAGGTTAAGTAATAGGTATGACCCAATTTAATTTTTCTATTTCCGGCTAATATCGGTTGCTAGCCTTATGCAAATCACCACAAACTAGAGAGTATGACTTTTTTTTAGTTAAGCTGAGGTAAACTATCTTTACTACGCCAATATATTCTAAGTCATTACATAGCAATAAGATACTATGAATAATCGACGCTTGAGTAATCAACGTTGATATCACTATGACCAAACGAAAAAAAAATTGCATGAGCTATGAATGATTCAATCTATACTTTTAATATAATAAAGCGGAAGAGTTTTTTTGTTTTTTTGTTTGTTTAAACGCGCTAATCTCTGGAACTACCAGTCCGATTTGAAAAATTCTTTTTGTATATTATAGGCAGGTTCATGTGGAATAGTATAGACTATCTAGCATTAAGCTATATTACTCCTTAAATATGGTATTTGTTTAGCAAGTCAGAAGAAAAAGCACTCCCGAAATGATTTATCCGCGTACGCTGGTGTTATCGTTAGGGATACGTAAATACAATGTTCTAGAAAAATATAGACCTTTACTCCATCTAAAAAAAGTCCGCGATACCATATGTATATTTATTAATTATGGCTTATGTATAAGCCATAATTTGGTATTTTGTGACAAAAATATATTAAAAATTTAAAAGTGATTTATGAGCGTTATTATTAGGCTTGGCCTATTTATCCTTAGGAACGAAAGTTACTTCATCATCAAGACAATTTTATGAAGATAAACTTTGTTCTTTTATACCATGTTATTTGGACGCATAGTTTAAGAGATTATGTAAAATTATAATAATTTAATACTTGGCTGGGCGCGCGAACGACGCTTAAACCCTAGCCATTATAAAATGCTTGAACTAGGTCATGTCGCGCAACTCAGACACGTGATGACGCGGGTGAAACCGCGGGGCACAGCTAGTAATATAATAATTCTATTATAAATCGCCTATTTCGCTAAAGTAGCAGAGTACTCCAGAAACATAACAGTTTTGTATAACGTTAAAAAGCCAGATATATTCCTGGCTGTATGGCATTTCGATATATCCCTCGGTAATCATTTACCATGAAAATGATCTATTATCTCGTATACCATCCTAACATTATTATAATTTTTTTAAAGTTTATGTTAACCGAAAGTAGGTGTATAGGACTAACGTGATCTTCACTCAATAGAAATATTTTAATATGATACGTTTATCTTCATAGTATATTTAGCTGGAACACAATGACAAGATTGAGAACAAAAAATTCTTTGGCGATGCTTGATCAACTGAGCACCAATGTCGCCACCTCCACCGCGACAACGACAGCCGCTACTAACGTTGGGTCGGTCACCAAGTCCAACACAAACGGGAACAAAAGACCAACCATCATCATTTATCCGACTGGTGAGTCTCATTTACACTCATAATTATGTTTTAGTAAGTCTTATATGTAATGCAAAAAATAAAATGTATATGAAATACTTAAAACAACGTAAAAACTAATACTAACTAATAATCATATACAATATAAAAATACCTATCGTAAACGTAAAAATAACTGCGGTTGCCAACTCGCCTGCCAAGAGGCATGAGCCAATCCACGGAGAGTTCCATGTTCAGCAGTGGATTAATATAAATTATAATGGATTGATGGACGTAAAGAGGTGTGAAAATGAATTAGTTAAGGTCCTTACGAAACTTTATTTAAGCTATACACCAAAAATTACAAACTTAGTTCCTTTAATCTTGCTTGTAACAAATCCCATAGTGAAAACACAATATTAATTGAAATAACACCACAGTGATGAGAAAAACCTTTTAAACATGTTCATTCTCTCAAATTATAAAGAATAAAAGATTTTCTTTTTTAAGCAAGTTACGCCTAATATAAAAGTAAATAAAAAATCTCTTTAAAACAATCTTTTTTAATCGATGCTATGACCGGAATCCGGGTCCATCTTTAGAATAGCTCCATGGGACTATATATTTGTCGGCGAATTACAACAGAGGATCACAATTTTGATCTCTGAAATACATCAGGATAGCGTTAATTGTTAAAAATAATAAAAGTGTGAGAGCGGATGTTCAACTTGCTCTCTTGCTTACACAGTTTAATCATTATCAGTAATAAGACAACGTAACGCACTATACACTCAGTATAGTGAAATTACAGTTCGACCACACCGTAACACGTCTCTGCCACAATCACACACCAGTGTAACGTGAGGTACGTAATTACATGATAACACCAAAATATGTAAACCAACAGCAACACTACCTATCTCAATGTAATACAGGGCAGCCTCTCAGCAACACCAATCCTCCTTGCCTGCACTAGAAGAATTACAACAACGAACAGAACCACAACACTATCTTAGCACTAGTAGAATGACCACACCCGTTGAATGACTTAAGCGGAATCTCGCGCGCACGGCACCTACAGTGAACTTTATACTACAGACACAAGAGGGGGTTTCTCGATATACCCTCCATTCTACCTCGATCAAACCGGGTATTTTATAGACGTTCCGACATATTTAATTGTCATAGCAGTTACTGTCAGCTCAGTTCTCAAGAGTTTCGAAAATTGATTACTAATTTAAAAAAGAAAGCAAGTCGAATAAAAGCTTTTGAAAATACAAAGGTTGTATTTTTCCTAGTCTGAAGAGGGAGGTGTCCTCAAACTAGGTAAGACGACTGACAAATGAGGCCAGTGTTGAGCCCATTAAATATATATTTTATTGCCTAAGAGAATTAATAGGTGTCGTGAAGCGACAATAAAGAACAAAAAGAATCTAACCTAAGAACAACAAAACAACAAAAATACAACAAAAACAAAAAATATATTTAAGATTCAAAGATATTTACAATTTTATACAAAAATAGAGTATGAATATGAGGATGGATGATGCGATTTACAGATTATTTAAAAAAAAGTAATAAAAAAAAAAGAGATTAGTGCCGAAGCTGAGTCTGAAGATCCAAGGTGTGCTCTCAGCGCCTGAAACGAGCACGCACGGCGTAGGTGAGAAGGCGTGGGCGTCTCTAGGCGACGACCTCCGGTGAATGTGGTAATTGCAGGATCCGGCGATTTCAGGCCAGACAGGGGCTTGCAGGATCCTCAGCGGCTTCAGACAACACAGAAGCCTGCAGGATCCGGTGACTGCAGGCGGGACAGAGGTTCGCAGGTTCCGGTGACTTCAGGCGGAACTGAGGTTTGCAGGTTCCGGCGACTCCAGGTAGAGCAGAGACTTGTAGGATCCCGGCGACTTCAGGTAGAGCAGAGACTTGTAGGATCCCGGCGACTTCAGGCAGAGCAAAGGCTTGTAGGATCCGGCGACTTCAGGTAGAGCAGAGGTTCGTAGAGTCCAGTGGCTTCCGGCAGGACAGAGGCTTGCAGGATCCCGGGGCAGTGCGGCCCCGGGATAAGGCCTTTAGGAGATGCTTCCAATTCGAGAACTGAAGCGAGACTGCCTTTCTTCACCGATTGTTCGGCTTTTATACCTTTCTAGAGAGAACGGAAAAAATATTTAAATTAAACGCAAATTTTTTGTAAATGGTCAAGAGAAAAGAGTATTTATGTGGAATTATCGAAATAGAAACAACAGACCGGTAGCAAATTTGAATATAATTGCTATGGAGACCAAATAAACAACAATGTCAAAACATGTCAAATTTTGGTTTTAGGCTTGTAATAAGAAAACGGCAAGATTTAAGTGGAAAATGAGATATTATTGATATAGGAAAAAAGGTAGCGCAACTGCCCACACAAAGCCTGAGATTGTAGAGTTACGGAAAACTAACTAAAAGATCGAAAAAAGGTAGACTCCATTGACACCAATTTAAAAGTGCTGATAATGTGAAAATACGAAGTAGAAATGATTTGTTATTGTGTTCTTATGGTTTAAAATCGTTACAGGATCCTATGGAAATAAAGGTGATGTAAAATATCCAGTTTTGAGGTGAATGCAGAAAATCGAAACAGAATGGAAAAATGAATTTAAAATAATGTAAAAATGATAAGTAAGTAGCATAACACTACATTTTCCCCCCGACCCTGGAAAATTTTTGACTCAGCAAAAATTTTGATATATACATTCTAAAATAAACCATAAAAACACAGCTTTGCAGAAACAGACATCACCAGGCAAAATCAGATATACCATCTCTTACATTCATCATCTGCATTCAGGTAAGGGTGGAGTTCACATTCAATGACTACCACTCTAAAAGTGTGTTTTCGAAATGACATTCAGGCTTATTTAAGGAGTAGTCATCCGCTACTGCGTGGAAAAAAATTATTAAGGGAGTAGTCACCGCTCTAAAAGAGTGTTTTTGAAAGGACATTCAGGCTTATTTAAGGAGTTGTCATCCGCTCCTGCGTGAAGATAAAGATAAAGAAATATCTTAAGTAAGCTTTAGTCGCTATGACGTAAGTAAAGATAAAGAACGGCCAGAGCGGTAGGGCTCAACGCCAGAGATCAGCAACATCACTAGCGAGTTGTGTCTGAAATAATAATAAAAAGTGAAGATTAACCAACCAAACAAACAAACAAATTAAAAGAAATAAAAATAATAAGGTGAAAATGATGGTGAAGATGAGAATGATGGTGAAGTTTGAGAAACAAGAGGGGGTTCCATGACAGTCGGGTCAACAGGCGGGTCAAGTGATGCAGAGTCATTTTCAGTTGAAGGTGGAGTCAAGGATTCGAATTGTTAAGTAATAGCGTCAAATTTGTAAAGTTAAGTTTAAGAAATAAAAATTTAATTAAAAAATTATACCTCTTTAAGTTATCTAGAATAAAAATATTAGAGTGATGAATGTAAGTGAAGTGTTAAATGTAGGTCTAAATATAATCCAGATAAGTTGAAACACTAGATGAAGTGTTGTTTTGGAATTTGGAAGGTTATCTGCAATAAAAATATTAAAGTGATGAATGTAAGTGTTAAATGTAGGTCTGAATATAATCCAGATAAGTTGAAACACTAGATGAAGTGTTGTTTTAGAATTTGGAAGATTATCTACAATAAAAATATTAAAGTGATGAATGTAAGTGTTAAATTTAGGTCTAAATATAATCCAGATAAGTTGAAACACTAGATGAAGTGTTGTTTTAGAATTTGGAAGGTATGAAAAGGATGAATAAATAAAGAGTTAAGAACGAAAGAGGAAGCAATTAAATCAAAAGGAATGGACAAGGCGCAGTAAAGGTGAAGAGAAGAGAAAGAGAACTTTGACGTTGGGCGCCAAATATCGTGAAGCGACAATAAAGAACAAAAAGAATCTAACCTAAGAACAACAAAACAACAAAAATACAACAAAAACAAAAAATATATTTAAGATTCAAAGATATTTACAATTTTATACAAAAATGGAGTATGAATATGAGGATGGATGATGCGATTTACAGATTATTTAAAAAACAGTAATAAAAAAAAGAGATTAGTGCCGAAGCTGAGTCTGAAGATCCAAGGTGTGCTCTCAGCGCCTGGAACGAGCACGCACGGCGTAGGTGAGAAGGCGTGGGCGTCTCTAGGCGACGACCTCCGGTGAATGTGGTAATTGCAGGATCCGGCGATTTCAGGCCAGACAGGGGCTTGCAGGATCCTCAGCGGCTTCAGACAACACAGAAGCCTGCAGGATCCGGTGACTGCAGGCGGGACAGAGGTTTGCAGGTTCCGGTGACTTCAGGCGGAACTGAGGTTTGCAGGTTCCGGCGACTCCAGGTAGAGCAGAGACTTGTAGGATCCCGGCGACTTCAGGCAGAGCAAAGGCTTGTAGGATCCGGCGACTTCAGGTAGAGCAGAGGTTCGTAGAGTCCAGTGGCTTCCGGCAGGACAGAGGCTTGCAGGATCCCGGGGCAATGCGGCCCCGGGATAAGGCCTTTAGGAGATGATTCCAATTCGAGAACTGAAGCGAGACTGCCTTTCTTCACCGATTGTTCGGCTTTTATACCTTTCTAGAGAGAACGGAAAAGTTATTTAAATTAAACGCAAATTTTTTGTAAATGGTCAAGAGAAAAGAGTATTTATGTGGAATTATCGAAATAGAAACAACAGACCGGTAGCAAATTTGAATATAATTGCTATGGAGACCAAATAAACAACAATGTCAAAACATGTCAAATTTTGGTTTTAGGCTTGTAATAAGAAAACGGCAAGATTTAAGTGGAAAATGAGATATTATTGATATAGGAAAAAAGGTAGCCCAACTGCCCACACAAAGCCCGAGATTGTAGAGTTACGGAAAACTAACTAAAAGATCGAAAAAAGGTAGACTCCATTGACACCAATTTAAAAGTGCTGATAATGTGAAAATACGAAGTAGAAATGATTTGTTATTGTGTTCTTATGGTTTAAAATCGTTACAGGATCCTATGGAAATAAAGGTGATGTAAAATATCCAGTTTTGAGGTGAATGCAGAAAATCGAAACAGAATGGAAAAATGAATTTAAAATAATGTAAAAATGATAATTAAGTAGCATAACACTACATAGGGTGCTTTGGGTATTTTTGTGACCTTTCCAAGGGACACAAGGCGTTAATTCTTCTTTCTTTTTTTAAAAAACGTTACCCCCACACTAGGATTTTCTCCTGTGTCGTGGAGGCGGGTTACAAACATAAATTGCACAAGGACAAACATCCAGAACCGAAACAATTATTTGTAGGCCATACAAATACTTGTTCCGCGCGGGATTCGAACCCGCGGCCCCCAGCGCTACAACTGATTGCTAAGCTACAGCGCCACGGAAACTATAACATTATGCTGTAATAAATATTGCTTCTAGATTTACGCTAGTAAGGTCAAAGGAGGCTTATTTCCAGCAATTAAATTTTAACCAGAAATAAAATAGCGAACAGTAAATTATCAATCTTTTTGAATATTTACATTCAAGAATAATATGTATGTTTGTCAATTTGCACCGTCAAAAGATAAAGCGTGTTTGATGTAAAATTTTTTAACCTCTATCAAATATACTCTCCAGAGTACGAGTATGATTAAGACATAATAAGTATTGATCTACAAATCTTTATTAATGACTATCACCGTAATTTCTATTTTAGTTTCGCCCGAATCAATAGTCATCCCGATTGTTTCCTGTATATTTGGATTTCCATTGCTGGCGTTAACAGTTATTTGTTGCCTTAGACGAAGGGCAAAATTAGCCAGGTAATATTTTAAACATACCGTTATTTTGAATCTTTAACTTACACTTATTTGAGAATTATTTGATAACAAAAACGTAGGCATAAAGTTATTCATGTATGATTTTATTACTGGTAACAGAAAATTACGTAAACCATACAATTCACTCTTAGGTTGTTATATTTCTTCTAAATTAGTAATTGTTCAATTTATTCCTTTCAAAGATTATTGGCCATGAACTGCACGTTTGATTCGGCTTAACTTGAGACCACGATCTCATATAATACCAATGTGAACTAACGGTAGGCTTATAATTCATATGGTAAGTTGAGAGGCAATGAGTAATAAGGCATTCCCTCTTAGTCCTCCATAGTATCTGACTGTAGAGACCTAGTCACGTGGAGATATATCATAATATGGACACACAATAGTTTCTTCTTTTGATAGAATATTATGAATGAAACAATAATTTCATAATAGGTGGTTAATATATTGAGCTATAACTTTGCCTGTATATCAAGGTCAATTACAGTTTGGCTTGATTGCACTAATTCAGGACTATATATAGCTAAAGATTGCCATATAAGCTCAAACAAAATTCGTAAGTTATCTTTTCGTCATATATTTTGCCCTAGTGCAGATCCTTTCTATCGCTTTAATTTAACAAACGTTTAAACTTTAAATCCGTCCAACTGTAGGTTTAACAACTTTTGTTTTCGTACCTTTGACATATTAAGCACTCTCCAAATTCTCTTTCCTTTAAAAATAAAACTCGTTTTTTTTTTCGTATAATATTTTAGTATTACTTGCTTTCTGCCTCCTGATTATTTATTTATTATTTTTCATATTTTATATAAATATATTAGTAATATTTATATAAAGTATGAAAAATAAGTACGTAATACACTGACCATTTAAAAACCCTGATATTTATAGAGAGCGAGCAAGACGTCGTAACTGTGAATTAGATCGTGGAGAATTATCAGTGGTGCGACTGTCGCCGATGAAGAGCCGAGTACGTGCCGTGAGTCTAGTGCGCTCACCTCGACCATTACCAACTCTTGAGCTCGACACCGTATTAGAAGAACGTTCCGACCCTGAACAGACTACACTTTCTCAAGTAAATGAAATAATAATATATTTTTTAGTAGATACTTTGTTTCAAATTAGCAGCGTCATATCGGAATACATTCTGCAATAGTAAATACCTGTCACCGGCGATGTTAATTCCTGCCTAATCGTAAATACCTCCATACAACGGGAGAGATCCATGTACAGCTGTGGACTTATAAGTGACTTATTAAGGAAGAAAAAATGTAAAAGAAATTGACTATCATCAATTATTAGTAAGTTTTTTTTTATATACGAGAAGGGGCAATCTCTGATCAGCCAGAAAACTGGTGATCCAATTGCATAATTTCTCAGAAAGCCCATAGAAAGGAAGCTTCGAAAGAAGCGCTTTGTGTCAGACCCGATCGAAGGCCATCGCTATGTCCAAACTTTCGGCCAATGCCTCCCCTTTGGACTCGATCACCTGTGGCCATCTATGTGTTAGGTAAACAAGAAGATCACCAGCTGAGCGTCCCCGACGGAAACCGTACTGGCGGTCACTAATCAGCTGATGCTCCTCAAGGTACAACATGAGATGGCAGTTAATAAAGGACTCCATTATTTGCGAGAACAAATATATGATGGCGATAGGCCTGTAGTTGGACGGATTAGAGCGGTTACCATTTTTAGGGATTGAGTGCACGAAAGCTGTCCTCCATGAATTCGGGACAACACCTAGGGAGTACAAGTACCGGAAAAGACGCGTAGGAACCGGTGCCAACTCTGGCTGGCACTTCCCCAGCACAATTGGCGGGATTCCGTCAGGCCCACTCGACTAGTGTATTTCTAGGGAGAGGAGTGCTTTACGTACAGAGTACTGTGTGAATCAAACACCAGACATAGAGCACTCTCACGTCGGTATGGTCGGCGATGTGCTCCCCCCGTCATCGTGAGTCGAGTTGGACACAAAAAGGGAACCTAAAATGTCGGCTTTCTCTTTTGCGACGTGGGCCAGTGAGTCATCCTTCCTGTGCAGAGATGGTAGAAATTCCATTGAACAGCATTGGCGAGAGACCAGAAGCCAGGGGTTCCCGAAGGAAGGTGATCTAGTTTCTCGCCAATTCTGCATATGGTGCTCTGACTTTACCCTCGCAATAACTCTTTTGAAGGACCTGGAGGCGAAAATATACTTCTTTTTAAGCATGCTGGTGTTTACATCCCGGCTCGGGCCCAGGCCTGATAACACTCCTGCTTACTGCGTAATGCAGTCTTACAGGAGCGACCAAACCAAGGCTGAGATCTGCCTCTAATGGGTACCACAGATGATGGAATAAATAGTTCTATTCCCTGTAGCACCACATCAGTGACAGAGTCAGCAACAGCGCTAGGATCATTCGGCAAAGAGCAAACCCACCCCCACGGGTAGAATGCAAAGAATGGCCGCATTCCGTCCCAATCCCCCGACCTGTAATGCCAAACACGGCGAGAGCCACCCGTAAACACGGGGATGTCTATGCGCAGCCAAAGGATGGACAGGTCCGTACCTTCAAGACAGTAAGTAGTCAGTTTTAAACATATATACGAGTACGTCTTAGTGATGGGATCAGGCGTCCTCGTATAAGCATGAGTATTTATGTTACACGATATAATTGTCAATTGTAAGCCGATTTTGATGTTCTTTTTTTATTAAATATATTATAGATTAGAAGAATTGCTACATAAATTTGAAAAATAATTTCCACACCTAATTACAAAATAAACATTCAAGGATGGCAAATTAGGGGATTGAAGTATTCAATGTAACTATATAGTCGATATTAGGCCACTCAAAACGGTAAAGAAATTACTTTAAAAAAAGCCGATTACAAAGAACTAAATAGAAAATAATTTCACTATCTTAGCACCGCCCGGGGAATGTGGAATTATTTTATTATATTTAGTTCTTTGAAGTTGGCGTGTACTTTTTATTAAAAGTTAATTTTTTACTTAGAGGATTATTAAGCAGTATTTTAATCTTACATAGTAAGAAAAAGTAATAACTTATGAAACGCTTTAGTTAAGGGAATTTCACAAGTTACGTATTATTTTGTTTTATTTATCATATTAGAAAACTTACAGCTAAAACATCAACTAATACATTAATAAATAAACGAAAAAGACCAACACAGATATTTTCACAGATATAAGTAGATTTTCACAGATATAAGTAAAGCAGTAAATATTTATCATGTTGATGAAAATGAATAATTTTTGAGTTTTATATTCAAGTGTTATTACATTGCACCAAGGGAACAAGCTACATATACATACATATATATACGTCACGCCTGTAATCACCGAAGGGCTCGGATTACGCTAACCAACAAAAATATGGTTGTAGATGGAAAATTGTGAAAGAAGTGATAGATTGCTAACCTAACGCCCTCACCATCATAAACCCAATGGTAGCACATTCATTTTCTTCATTTTTACATAAACATTCATTCTTACATAAACATGAGGCCTATAAGTCTCACACTAACATGGGACATGTTATACCCTAGATATTATTTTCAGGTGGACATTACACCGGACCGAGAAGTGGGTACGATATTATTCAGTGCAATAGGTGCAGTAGGAACGGCGGCAGCCGCAGCGGCGGCATGCGCTCGTGACAGCTAGCGGCGAGACTCGGCGCAGCTCGGCGCACGCTCGCCGCTTTGGGCCGCGCTCACCAGCCAGCCACTCGACGAGGACGATGCTCAAGATCCTTCCTACGACAGCTAACAAGAACTGGACGATGGCTCCGTCGCTGACATCGGCAAGCGCATGCAGATGTTCTTGGACATTCCACTAAGATTTTAGTTTGTCGTCATGTCAAGTCAGTGTCAGGACATACGAAGTTTAACTATATTTCGGTACAAAATGTGACTCTTGAGAACTTAGAGAGTGAAGCCTGTATACGTCAATTTTAATGTCTGTTTATTTTTAATTTATTGATCAAAGTGTACATACATATTTTTATTTTATTTGTACCATTAAACAAAAAATTGTATTGGTACTCATGGTGTAAGGCTTTGTTATTTATATCGTACAAATTTTTGTAACACGGATATCATTTTAGCTTAAGCGTTTTTAAAAAACTTTCCTAGTAAACATATTCTAAAAAATGTGTGAAAATTACGGTAGTCTTACGTGTCGTGTACATTTTGACATATCTTTACACACGTTGCTATTTCAAATACTTGCAGGGAATTGCTTGTAAATTAACCAAAAATAAAAATAAAATATTTAAATAAAAATTAAATAAGTCGACGTCTGCAACCAAATTATTTCACTCGCTTAAGTGTTAACAGCCATAAGTTGAAACAAGAAATCGAATTTGCCTCGAGACACCAGTTATTTAAAAAAAATCGTCGTGAATTTTTGGTTGAGTAAAAATGTGTCTCACCTATGATACTTATAAATTATTATTACAATGTTTTACATAAATATAATGAAATCTTTAGTAAGTTGATAAACGTTTGTAAATAAAATAATAAATTTATATTTATTTAAGAACATTTGTAGATTACTAGAAATCGCAAAATCGGTTAGACTTGAGTTGTGGTCCTTCAACTTTAATTAAGGTGCTGACTAAGTACCAAACACCAGCTCTATCAATTTGAATAAAACATCATAATAACCATACTTGAATATTTTATACTTAGTAATGCGAAGCAACTTTGTAAGATTGTAACTAAAGGCCAAAGTTATATCACATACTAAAATGTATATAATTATGTATGATCAGTGGTCACATAATATCACGTTCTAGATGGATTCTAGTCGGAATTACTTCAAATATATACACATACTAGTAAGGCACGTAGTGCTTTAAGTCCAGATTATAAATTCATGTAGCGATCTGGCAATATTTTAAGGGACACTTTAATAGCCTGTTATCATGATGATAATAGTGCACCTAAATCAAAAATATTTACTTTCATTGATTTAAGCGTTGCATGAAACAATATAATCAGTCTGTCTTGAAACAAAACAAGGTAATTCATTTAAAATTGACCAAACCAAAATTCAATGAAAGTTAAATGTTTAGGTTTTTTTTAAATTAAACATTTAACGTGAATTGCAAGATACATATAAAATACCGTCATATTCATTATATATAATAGTACCTACAAATAAATTTATACAAATACATAGATATAAGATATAGGATCTGTTTTAGACGTAGTTTTTAAGAGGATATCTGGTTTGCGTGAAGTTTAGAGAATATAATAAAATGATAAAAAAGATTAGAAGTCTTACCAGTGTTGAAACAGCTAGGCTAGTTTACTTTAGCTATTTCCATAGCATAATGGCGTATGGTATTTTACTATGGGGACACGCAGCTGACACTGAAATTATATTTGTTTTACAGAAGAGGGCCATAAGAGCAAGTTATGATTTAAAGCCTAAAGAGTCGCTGCGACAAAAATTTAAGGAAATTAATATATTAACTTTGGCCTCTCAATACATTTATGAAAATGTAATATACGTATACAAAAATAAAAGTAGTTTTACAAAAATAAGTGATTTCATTCTGTAAATACTAGCAACAGACACAGTACAGTTAACAGTGGTAGAGCCACGCGGCAACTTTTGCTGTCGCATGGATGGGCCGGCTCGAACCGGGGTGGTACCACGACCTCACAGAATACCAGGGTTTACCTCTGCGTGCCGCTTGGTGAGTGCAATTCCCCCTCCCCCATTAACATTGTAGCGGAATTGAACAGAAGACTACCCCAGGAGGGTACCAGCACCCCTGGAGAATCCCTCGCTGAGCATCCACGACCAAACTACTCCACTCCTGGGCGTGGGTGCTCAGGCTGCCCCGCGTATTCTGGGGGAGCGGGGGGGCGAGGGGTGGGGCGAAATTCCACTCAAGTCGAAACCTGCTCGAGGCAAGCGGAGCAAGAAGACAAAGGCAACCCCTGCTACGATATCCGTGGATTTCTGCAATATCAGGGGACTTCATTCAAACCTTAACGCCGTCCACTACCATCTGGAGATAGCTAAACCGGCCTTGCTCTTTCTAACCAAGACACAGGTGTCCTCTCCGGCTGATACCTCGTATCTTTCCTACCCGGGGTACAAATTAGAACACTCGTTTGTGCCCCGGGCTGGAGTTTGCGTGTACGTCAGAGAGGACATCTGTTTTCGACGACTCGGCATTCTTGAAGGTCCTGTCCATCCTATGGCTACGCGTAGACAGCGACGACCATCCCCGCGTCTACTGGTGCCTCTATAGGTCCCATAGCGGTAATGCCGACACATACCGACTCATCGACCACGTCCAAATGGCTGCAGACTCCGTGCTACAACAGGTCCCATCCGCAGAGATCGTGACTCTTGGTGATTTTAACGCCCACCACGCCAAATGGCTAGGTTCACGCTTAACCGATCATGCGGGGAGATCTGTTTATGATTTTTCTTTAGCATATGGTCTGACACAACTGGTTACTTCGCCTACGCGGATCCCAGATGTACAGGATCATGTACCTTCTCTGTTGGACCTTCTGCTGACCTCTCATCTAGACGGATATCAGATCTCCGTCTCGGCTCTTCGGACCATTGTCTGATCCGGAGTACGGTGCTACTCACTTTTGGCACTATAGGTCGGCCGATTGGGACGGGATGCGGTCTTTTTTTGCATCCTACCCTTGGGGGTGGGTTTGCTTCGCGCCGGATGATCCCAAAGTTGTTGCTGATTCTGTCGCTGATGTCGTACTTCGGGAAATGGAATTATTTATTCCATCGTTCCTTCAAAATTGCATCACGCTATAAGCAAGAGTGCTACTGAACCTGGGCCGACGCATCAACGTCCCGGGATGTAAATACCAGCGCTCTTAAAAATAAGTATAATTCCGTCTCCAGGTCCTTCAAAAGTGTCATTGCCAAGGCAAAGTCAGAGCACATCGGCAGAATTAGCGAGAAACTAGTTTGCCTTCCTTCAGATACACGTGCATTCTGGTCTCTCACCAAGGCTGTCCAAGGGAACTCCTGTCAGCCATCTCTGCCATGTCTGCACAGGGCGGACGACTCACTGGCCCATGACGCAAAATAGAAAGCCGACCTGCTAGGCTCTCCTTTTGCTTCCAACTCGACTCTAGATGGCGGGGGAACACACCGCCGACCATCCCGCGGTGTGAGTGCATAAAGCACTCCTCTCCCTGGACGTCTCAACAAGTCGAGTGGGCCTGATGGAGTCCCACCTATTGTGCTGAAGACGTGTGCTCCGGAGTTGGCACCGGTTTTAACGCGTCTTTTCCGGTACTCCTACTCCATTGGCGTAGTCCCGAACTCATAGAAGACAGCTTTGGTGCACCCGATCCCTAAAAAAGGCGACCGCTCAGATTCGTCCAAATACAGGCCTATCGCTATCGCCTCCTTGTTCTCAAAAGTAATGGAAACTATTATTAACAGCCATCTCATGCGGTACCTTGAGGTTCACCACCTGATTAGTAACCGCCAGTACGGCTTCCGTCGAGGTCGCTCAACTGGTGATATTTTAGGTTACCTAACTCATAGATGAGCGGAGGCAGTGGAGAACAAGGGGGAGGCGTTGGCCGTTAGTTTGGACATTGCGAAGGCCTTCGATCTGATTTGGCACAAAGCGCTTCTTTCGAAGCTCCCTTCCTATGGGATTCCCGAGAAATTGTGCAAATGGGTCACCAGTTTTCTTGTAGATCAGAGCATCAAGGTCGTAGTAGACGGTGCATGCTCCGATTACAAGTCCATTAACGCTGGTGTTCCACAAGGCTGCGTATTATCACCAACGCTGTTTCTTCTGCATATCAATGATATGTTGCAAACCAGTAACATTCATTGCTATGCGGACTACAGCACTGGTGATGCTTTATACACCGGCCGTGCCAATATTTCTCGGGAAAACGTCGCCGAATACCGGAACAAACTTGTGTCTGAAGTCGAGACTTCGTTGAACAAAGTCTCAGACTGGGGTCGACTAAATCTAGTCCAGTTCAATCCACAGAAGACACAAGTTTGCGGGTTTACCGCTAAAAAAAGAACCCCTTTTGTCGTATCTCCTCAGTTTCAAGGTACTCCCCTTGTTGCCTCAGCCAGTATCGGGATCCTTGGTGTCGACATATCAAGTGACGTGCAATTTCGTGGTCACTTGGAAGAGAAGGCCAAATTGGCCTCGAAAAACTTGGTGTGCTCAGCCGAGCGGGACAGTATTTCATGCCGGCACACCCCTTGCAACTTTACAAGGCGCAGGTTCAGCCTCACATGGAATACTGTTCCCATCTCTGGGCAGGGGCTCCCCAGTGCCAGCTCCTTCTACTTGACCGCATCCAGCGCAGAGCTCTTCGAATCGTCGACTAGCGAGTTCTTTCCTATCGGCTTGACTCATTGGCACTGCGTAGAGATGTTGCATTTCTTTGCGTATTTTATCGCTTCTATCACGGGGAGTGCTCTGAGGAATTGTTCGGATTAATCCCAGCCGCCCAATTTTACCATCGCACATCGCGACAAAACTCGCGATACCATCCATACCATCTGCATGATTGGCGGTCCACCACTGTGCGATTTGGAAGAAGTTTTCTTCCTCGAACAACTTCCTTGTGGAATCGATTACCACCAGCGATCTTTCCGGACCGATACGACTTAGGGACCTTCAAGAAAAGAGCCTACTCTTTTTTAAAAGTCCGGTAACGCATCTGCGTTTCCCCTGGTGTTGCAGTTGTTCATGGGCGGCGGTAGTCACTTACAATCAGGTGAGCCGCATGCTCGTTTGCCCCCTCTCCTATAAAAAAAAAGACATAAGCTAGTAGTACCAGTTACTCGACTCCATCGAGTCAGTAATTCATTCTTGGGGCGATGTATACGCTTTTACAACAAAATTCCAGAAAATATACAAAATTTGGCCAGCTCAAAGTTTAAAAACTTTATTTAACTAAGTTTGTATAAAAAGAGTTACTATAATAATAAAGAATTTTTGGAAGATAATAACCCCTAGAAATGAGGTGATGGCTACCAAGCTATTTCTAATTTGTTGTGTTGTTAATTTGTGTAACATACCTACATGATTATAAGCTGTTATTTAAAAAAACAAGGTCCCGCTGGGTTTCTTGCTGGTTCTTCCCAGGACAGAGGATTTTTTTCGAACCAGTGGTAATTAAACAAAAGAGTGACTTTTAATAAGTATTATTTATAATCTATATTCGATAAAAAAGTTTCTGTTTCTGTTATATTTTTAACGACCTTTTATTGTCATGATGTGCCCGAGCGACCTAGATAGGCAACCGAGAGAGACAACTGTAGCACTGGCTGATTACCTATGGAAAATTTACATACTCATCATTCCGTATTCTCCTATGGCCCCTTCAAAACCGGACTGATTTTTTTTTGTTCCAAGAAAAATATAAGAATATTGTGGTTACGTTTGTATGTTCTTTTTTTTTTAAACTGTTAAATTTGTTTGCTGGATATTTAATAACGACGGTATAACTGGACACTTTTAGTAATGTCAGAAGTTTCTTCATTTTATAACACGAGATCATAAAATATGAAAACATGCCAAATACAGATTATATCGTAAATAATTGTATCGTAAAAAATTTATCCCTAGATAAATTATCCAGGGAAAAAACAGAGGAATACGTCTGTATAAACTAAACGCCGCCTCTCGCTTCGCTATCAATAAAACATTTTTGATTACTCTATCCTCTAAACACTCAATGTATGTACGTATGCAATTGCTATAAGACTCAAGTTAAGTTTACCCATAGATAAAAAATGTAATCTAAATTGAGGACGTGTGAAGACTCTTATAACCAATAAGTGTTCTATTCGTGGGTTTGGTATTATTTAAAAAAATCCTTGGTATCTTGAGACTCAATTTTTCTGAATTTTAGACTTTTAGTCTTTATAAATCTGAATAATTTTATCATCGCTTTGAATCTTTTATTTAACAAAGATTGATATTTTGCTTGTAATTGTATGCATTAGCTACGTACTTTGATACTTTTTTATTTGTTTTCTGTATCCTTCATTGGAACCCGATTTCAAGATGAAATTTTGCTTTTTATGCTGCAAAACTCAACTATATCAAGATCGACATCATCTAAGTTGAAACGCGTCGCTAAGTTATCATGACGAGAATATGTTTTGAAATAATATTTTTCAATTTTAGTTTCAAAACATAATATTTAAAATAAATAATAAAAATTCCTAAACCTTTTTCTTACATCAAAATAAAATAAGAAACATCCACCGTTTGCTTAAATTTTACTGTTGTATATTACATTCCATGAAGCGTCTGCCAGTGTAGCGAGACCTGCTTTAATTGTCACGTTTGGCAGACATTGACGGTCGCCGTACCAGACGTCGTATGAATAACTCCTAGTTGTTAATTCGAAGGTTACATTATGACCCGAAAATGGGTATAGGAGAGAGTCGGCTTACTTTAAAGGAAATAAATTACCTTTTTTTGAATTGATAATGGTTAATTGGAGCTAAACTGGTTTATATGTTTTTACGAGTATTTATTTATATATTTGT